TGTCGAACAGGAAGTCTCCCTCGTCCCAGCGCACGCGAGCCTTGCGAACGAAATCGTCCGCCCACCGTCGTCGTGTCCGCGAACCTGCACACACGTCGCCGCGCGTCGGTCCTCCAGCCACTGCTCGTCCGCGATCTCCGGCCCTGCGTCGGCGCCTGTCGGACTCCGCCACCCGACGCTCGGCTCCCATGCGGGAAACGACGCGCTCCTTTCTCTGGCGTGGGTCAACTCCTCCTAAGTCACCATCGCCCGTGCTCCACTACCTCTGACGAGCTGATGGTCCACGGGAACCTCGTCCTCCACGGCCTTCCAATAATGCACCCACTTCCCGAAGATGTCAGGCCTCTCACCAGCACCATCGTCATACAACGCCGGTCTATCGAGCAGCCTGAGGTTCCAGTGGCACCTGACAAGCTTCTCAGCCTGAGCGACCTCCAACCTGTTCCGAGACTTCGAATGAATGAAGCTCCAGCGAGACCAGGCTCTCTCGCAGTGTGACGTTGTCGCCCAGATGCGGAGGATCCTGCCGGCGAACACGGCCGTGTGAGGGAACTTCGCACTCTTCGACGACCAAAAACTGGCAGGATGCTCAAAGCTATCCATCGCCCGCCACACGAAAGGCGGCTCACATGTGTGGAACTTGTCAACGGCTCGACGGACCTCCCGGTGCTGCGGCGATCCCTCCGGGTAGCCGAACTGGACCAGGGCCTCGACCAACGCCTGCTGCACCTCACCATCGTCACAAAGTGTTGGGTCCCGGAACTCGGGATCCAACAGCATGGCTGCTATGTGGGCGGGGTCCGGAACATGGTGCGCCGCCTGACAAACACCTCCAGAATAGCGTCCTGCTGATTCCGATCGATGTCCTTGCAAGCAGACAAACAAGATGCAATCATTACCTCATAACGACGCAAAATCTTGCTGATCAGGCGTGTGTCGCTATCCACCAACCTCAACATGTCCATGATAGGCTCTAGCATGTGGTACAGAGCTATCAGATCCTCCCACCATGGAGGAGATCTGATGCACGCAGTGACCTCGGCAGCGTCCTTGCGGATCTTGCTGGTGGACCAAACCGTCTCACGCCAGCGCTTGTCGCCTATAACCTTCGTCAGATCTCCCCGCAGGTCCACCAGCCTCTCCATCATGATGACGTTCGTTCCAAAACGCGTCTCTGTCGGCAGCAGAAGAGTCTTCTTCGAGTACACCTCCAGAACCTCTCTCGTGTGGCCATGACGCTTGAAGAACCTCGTAACCAGCCTCGCCTGAGCGATGCGGGAAGCTACCCAATCAATCCCGCCGATGTCCTCGAGAATGAGGTCCATGACATGGGCGACGCACGGAATCTAGAAGATGTGTTTGGCGCTCTCATCCTTCTGGAAAACGTCCATCGCCGCGACGTTGACCCCGGCGGAGTCCGTCACGAACGCTGTGATGTCGCTCAAGTTCACGTCCATGGACTTCACCCTGTTCAACCACGAGGTCGCGAGCGCATGGGCGTCCTTCTTTCAGCGCATGACGCCGGTGGCCACGTACGCTACCCCTGTCTCTGTCCCGACAAGGAGTTGCACAATGTCTAACCCCTGATGTTGGTCCAACCATCGGTCATGATTGTGCAACCATGCTGTCTCGACGTGTCAAGAATAGGGAGAACACACTTCAGGACATCGGCATCCAGCTCGTCCAAGAGGGTCGTGCGCAGCATGTGGTACGTGGGAAGTTTAGGCGTGGGCGGCTCGGGAATCCCCGACGGGATGATCATCGTGAACATGCGCTTGAAGCTTTCGAGCTTCGCGCAGTTGAACGTCATCCTGCTCTTGACGATGAACCTCATGATCTGCAAATGCCATGCGCGCTCCAAAGAGTCTGAATAATACGACGTCACGGCCTGCTGGCGATAAGTCCCCCGGACGAGTCCCGTCGTGGTTCGGCCACCGAGGACCCCGGCATCCAACAACCCACCAGGACTCGCAGGTGCCGCACTCTGGGCGACTGCAATGTCGTGCATGCGGTACAAAGGATCTAATAATCCGCTGAGCACAGGCGGAGCAGGCAGAGCACGCCGAGCAGCGCTAGTCGTTGTCCGAATCGGGGTCGGCGCCGAATCGGCCACCGGAAGGGGGACCTCCTCAGCAGGCACCCCGGGCACCGCCTGTCCTCCGACTCGGGAAGGGGAGCAGGATGTCCAGCATCTGCAGACACGTGCGTAGGATCTGGTCTGTCCATCACACCGACATGGCCGACGACAGGATCATGTGCCGCTCTTGACGGCGGATGCGGCAGCCAAGGGTGCTCCGACGAACAGCGGGCAGGTGCGGTGGGTGCCACAACACTAGTAGCCGCTCTTGACGGCGGATGCGGCAGCCAAGGGTGCTCCGACGAACAGCGGGCAGGTGCGGCGGGTGCCACAACACTAGTAGCCCGTGCGGCAGGTGCGGCGGGTGCCACAACACTAGTACCCCGTGCGGCAGGTGCGGCGGGTGCCACAACACTAGTAGTCCGTGCGGCAGGTGACTGTCTGGCCCCGATGAACACAGGGGCGAGTCCAGCCGAAGGGCCCGCACCCCCGCCCCACCTGCGACTGTCAACGAAAGCACGTGTGCTATCCTCGTCAAATGCCGCAAGGCCTCCACCCTCCCTAACAGGTGGGGCCCGTTGGCCAGCAATGACCGACCAACATGCGCATGCCGAGCACCCGGTGTCCCGACTACCGTAGGATGTGGCCGAGGTGATGGACATACCGTCGTCGGCAGCGGAACTGTGACCCCATCAGTTGGAGCCGCAATACCAGGTAATGGCGCCACACCAGAGGGGGCGGCCGTGGAAACGGGAGCCGGGACCGAGTCCTCGGGGTATCGCAACGGTGGCCACTGGAACCTTGGATGACCTGCCTCTAAGCTCTGCAACGACTCGATGGCCGAAGCGAACTCCTTCAGACATTTGGTCATATCCTTCGCCCAGATGGCATACCACACCGCAGGAGTGGCCACCTCGCATCGGAACTTCTCGCTCTTCGAGAAGTGTTCCCTGGCTGATTTGGCGCCCCCGCAAATAGAACGACCGCACAACTTGCACAGGCAGCGACGACCAAGCTTCCTACCCGCCGCCGTGGAACCATCCAAATAACGACCTCTCGCGACGAAATGCCACACCGGATCGTCTCTCTTCCCGTCGACCTTCGCATCAACCTTGAAAGGCGACTCGAACGCCTTCGTGTTATGACCTTGCCTGGGCCCCGTGGAAAGGTCCGCCAACGCCGGACCCTTGCCGCGGTCCTGCGACATGACGAAGGTGCGGAGCTTCGACACGAGAAGACGACGGTTCGGGGAACCGAAGGGAATGTAAAAGTGTGGAACACACCACCTGGGAAGCGAAGCGAAAATATGGAACGAAAAAAAAAAACACACAAACAAACAACAAAAGAACAATGAAAACAATCAGAAAGCTATGGAGCCACATATCATTGAAAACAAACAACAAAAGAACAATGAAAACAAATCAGAAAGCTATGGAGCCACATATCATTGAAAACAAACAACAAAAGAACAATGAAAACAA